GGCGAAAACTGCGAAAAATAGTTCATCGTCCGGAGTTGTCAGAAGCTTGGTCAGAAGACCTGAAAACCCCTTGAAGAGACTGTCCGACGGCTCAAGGCGGATTTGACACTGAGAGGCGCCGCAACCGAAAATATGGCTTCATACCTCAGGGTATAGTGAATAGCACGTAGCATTTTCAAGACCCAATTTCACCAAGAACTAGACGTCGCACCTTGCACCTACCCTCGAGAGCATAAACAGCACGGAAGCAGTGCAGCATACAGCAAATTACTGTCTTGCACAAGTTATGAATGCACTTAATAAAATATTTACATTGACAAAATGTTAGTTGGTACTTGCTCTATATGCTAATTTCGCTACTTTTGGCAGTAAACACCGTTGTTGATTGATACGACACGACATTCTGGCATGTGCAAAGCGGTGTTTACGAAAGTGTACCACAATTTTGTTAGTGCGGAGGGAGGTAGTCAGTACTTTACATTGATCATCTAGCTTGGCCTGTGTGAAGTTAGTGTCAAATGCGTCGGCGAATCGCATAACCTTTCCGTTCTGATGATCAGATGGTTTAGTATTAGCCTAACAAAGGCTGGAAGCAACTCACTCCGTTAAGTCGATAATCCGTTGTTTGACCTGTCTTCTTTAAGGGTATCGGATGAACGCTAGTCGACAATCGGTTCATCTCAGCGTGTTCTTGGACGACAGCTTATTTTTATAGTCCAGCGGAACTCAGCTTGAGGTCTTGACATTCACTGGCTGTCTGGCTGTCTCTTAGGCGAGCCTCATGGCTGGCCCATCCTACCTTAGCTCCATAGAAGACAGAACCCATGTCTGTTAATCCAGTTCTTTGTTAGATTTGTGCACTGGAAACGTGATCCCGGAGGGAAACCTTGAACATCAATTTGTTATCGTCAGTTTTAGTACCACACCAACATTCAGCTCCATGGATTATGGCGATTCGGACTGTAATATCGCACAGTTGTTTCTTTGTTCGTATCGGCACCTGACTGTCTGATAATGTTTTGATATGACGACTACAGCTAGCTCATGCTACTTTTCTTGTTCTGATGATTTTCCCGCCTAACGAGGTTATGCGATTCACCGGCACCTGAGGAGCACATGATGAGGAAACTGTGTTAGCTCGAGCAAGACCCATGGCTCAGTAAACCACAGGGCACGATTTGTAAAGTAATAATTTCTGTCGAGAAACTTACTTTGCTAATTAGTCGGATACCTCTTAATAAATTATTAATACCATTGCCTCTGACTCGCCCACTACCAATGTGAAAATCAACCTCTTTATTTCTAAACAAACTTCGATCTCTTATCTTGAAAAACTGCCAATCCCTCAAACTTGCGACTTGCTTTTACCAAATCAACATGACAGTTGGATGAAAATTAGCATAGATTATCAGGCTATAGCAATGTAAGAGGCACTGATCAGCTTTTCTGGCCACAATGATGACCTGTGACCATAGTCCAGCACGAGGTCTTTCGAAAGCCCTCGCCAACAATCATGAAAATGACTAGAATTCATAAGTATAATGCACAGTACGTTATTGTATGATATCGCCACCATTACCATATGGCCTAATGGAAATGGTCTTAATATTGCCAATAGCGTTGTAAAAGCTGTAGCAAAGGTCATGTTTCTGTTTGCAAGCACGTCAGATGATTTGGTCTTGTTCTGGGAAAACGGGTTAGGTAAGCTTTGCTTTATCCTCTCCAATGATTTTTCCATTCTCCTCTACATGAGTCTACCCTAAGCCTAAAATCTTGCATCTGTATATCTTATTCATTAGAGAATTCTATATAATATGCAATAGGTCACGTTTTACTATTAAGCATAGATCCCTGAACAATTTATCAATCGAGTTTGAAATTTTTTTATAACCTTCGGAAATGATTATCTTTCTCAAATATCGAAATACAGCTACTGTAACACGTACTGCTGACGTATTCCGAATTTGCGGAATTTAAAGCACAGGGCCTTGTCGACCGGGAGCAACCAAAGACACCCTTAGCACTTAAATCGAGTTGAAACCTGACCATGC